TCACCACAAACATCTGCCCTAGTATTTATATTTTGTGTAATTGTAATAATCCTTAGAAGTTTCATCAATCAATCACTTTTGAGATCTGGAATTACAGATATTTAATGGCACTGCAGTCTTCAACTATACTGTATTATTTTTGAGTACTCTTTTTTTAGAGGCTCCATATAGTGTCTAATGGTACACACACCATTTCTAGTTAAAAATACTTTAAGACACATAAAAAGGCTGAAGGATAATGGTGTTTAACACTTCCAGTTACATCATAGTTTGGACAAATCAAAGACAAGTTTGCCAAGCAACCAACCTGGCTCCACCTACCATGACCATTCATGTTTGTGTCATTCCATGTTTTAATCTCTATTCTACACAGCCCTGGGTTCCAAAGCGTCCTTACCTTGTGTCCTCATCCAGAAGATTCAAAGCAGAATTTACTTCAAAGAGCCATTTTCACCACTTAAAAAAAATACTTTCTTTTTAACACAACGTCCATATGATTTTACTGAAAGTACTTGAATGGTGAATTAAGATAGGAGGAAAACAAGCACAAGCAAACAAAGCAGTACAGGGGAAATAAGGACATAGGAAAACAGACCTGATATGAGACTAAACAAGAAGGAAAGGAAGGAAAACTCTTTGTCTTTGATTAATTACTTGGAAAGGAGAGAGAAATTCTTCAGGAAAATAAATTTTTGTAATTTCTACTCAGCTTAGCAGTGTGATTCATGCTACCAGGCCTTGAAATGTGCAAAAATGAAATATGCTGGCTAAACCTTAGGCTTTTGTTTTGCTCCTTAGGTCACTATTTTTTTTGTCCTTTTGGCTTCTTTTGGGAAAAAAAGCTGTCTCTTGGGGAGATGGAGGTGTATGTCTCAGACTCAAAGGACTGCATACATCCCTGCTGAATACCCACATGGAGAAGGCAAGTAGAATTGGAGGCAGGAGAAAAGAGCTTAAGGCAGAAACTTAGGAATGTACAGTTAATGCAGTGAGATGGGAGAGAAATATGACCTAAATATAACCTAAATCTTCTTTGAGCCTGAAGAAAGCTACTGCATTTTGAAGCTTCTATAGATACCTACCATCTTACTAACAGACAACAAGAAATAGAAGAGCACTGAAAGTCTTCTTGCTACCACATATTATTTTTAAAAGTAACTTTATGAGTCCTGTTTTTCTACCTAAGCCTTTATTGATTAAATAATTTCTCGTGATCCAGCTACAGGCCTGGTTTTTGTCACACTATTCCTATATATTAGGCTTTAAAAAAAGAAAAAAAAAAAAAAAAGAAAGTATGATTCAAAATGTCAAAGACTGCTGTTCCTTATTACTAAGCTAAAACCTTTGGGGATATTTTTCCCAACTGTAGTTTAACGCCTAAGCACAAATAAGGTCTGTTTCCAGATATGCTGTGCACTTGGTAATGCAGGGAGGGTCATCTGCTGACATGGTGTTATCCTGCCAAGCAGAAAAAGCATGATGAGGCTACTATTGCACAATGCTTCTCAAAATAAATGTTGAAATTACTTTTGTATCTATTCATAGTGATACATCTTGTCTTGCTGCCCACCTTTCTCCAAGAAAGAGCTATTTTTAAAAAGGTGATTTATGCAGCTCACAAATATTTTTCTAGCTACTCTTCAATTTCCTATTAATAATTGAGATAGGATGAAGTGCCTGTGCCAGCAGAGGAATAACTGAACGTGTCGTTATTGTACAAATGCTCTGCTCAATATTTGTGTCCTGAACACGAGACTGGATGGGACAACAGCTGCCACTGAAGTACTGAAAAAAAAAAGTACTAGAAAGCTTTAGCCCAGGTTGTAGAGACAAATACACATAAAGCTGCTGTTCCAACCAGGCAAGAGAAACAGAGCAAGTGTGAATATTGCTCCAAAAAGCACAAAAACCTCTGACAAGTTCAGCTGTGATCTCCAGCAGAAAGAATTAGGCCTTATCTTAGGAAAATAAACTTTCTCAAAGGGATGAGCCAGTGGGTTCTACCACACTCTTCTGGATCTACTGCCTTTACCTCTTCATAAGAGTACATGAAAGGTGAGAATAAATGAGAATTTATTTAAAACAGTCTGTTCATATTTTCTGGTCCTCCTCTTACAGTTAACAGCCATTGCAAACAGGCACGTGTAGCTGTATTAACAACTCTTTTTTTAGTAAATCCAGACAGAAAACTTGGAATTAACAAGCCTTGGCACTAAGAACATGATGACAGCCCACCACCTACATGGGAATGGAATTTTCTGCTGTTCTGGAAAGTGAGGTACACTATGAAAACACAAATATTTTCTAATCTGTGTCCTTTGAGACACAAGACAATTCTACCATTGTGCTGTATCCCCAGATACTTAGATACATCAACTGGCAACTGAGGCACATATGGGAAGAAAACCCAAACAACCCCCCCAAAACACAAACAAAAAAAATCAGTGGTCAGAACTAGGAGGTGGGAAAATCAGCCTTTGTTACAAAGTGTTCAAGTACTTGCTTTAAAAAAATCTACCTGCCAACCTATTTGCACATTCCTTAACTAATACCAGGCCCATTCCCAGGCAGCTGTACCACTCTTGCCACACCAAAAAATAGGGAGAATCAACAAGAGGGCCCACACAAGGCCATTATATAAACTATTCCTGATTGCTCTTACAGTCTTGTAAAAGACAAAGTTCTGCTGCAACAGAAAAGAAGGGAGACAACTTTTCTTTTTGTCCAGGAGCTTGCATGATCCCCTTCAGGGAAACAGGATGTAAGCCTATAAACTTCTCGTGACAAGATCTGCCAAGTTTTATAACCATGCACTTTCTTCAGTCTCTCCCTTCTTCAGGCCAGTTGAAGCATCACTAACCAGAAAACTGAGCACTGAGTTTTCCTTCCTTATCTCCCTTTCTCTTCCCCTCCTTCTGCTGATCTTCATATCCTTATGTGCCCTGGAAAGGACATCTGGTGAACACAGGCTTACTGACTCATACTACTTACAAGGCACCAAAAAGCCAGAAAGACAAAACCTCCAAACATTTACTGGAAGTCAGGAGGACAAAATAAGGCAGAAGAGCAGCAAAACCACAAAAAGCAGACAGCAAAAACACGAATGGACTATGGGAAAAGAAGGATGAGATGGCAGACAAAGAGTAAATTGGGGGTATAGCTACTGAAAAGTGTACAGGAGCTAATAAGAAATGACACAAATTCAAAATATAGAGGTAAAAGATTTTTGACTGCTAGCACAAGAATCTAGTCCTGGTCAAACTCCAAACTCTTCACTACTCTGCTACAGTGGATTTAGGAATTTACATGACATCCATCTGTATATATTAACCCTCTAATAACATGTGGTTAACAACATTAAATTAAACCGTATGTGTTGGAAAGAAATGCTAAATTCTCATATGTTATTCCTTTATTATTCCTTTCTATACACAACAAGAGGAATTTTAAAAACTTGCCCTGCAAAATATGCTCTCAGTAAGACAAGAGAAAAAGATTGGCCTCAGTTTTCTCTTCCATATATTTACATTTCCACTCCATCTTCATGGCTTCCCTCTATAAATCTGATGCATACAATGACTTTTCAGATTTGTCCTCGTTGGTTTCCTCAGCCTGATCCTGTGACAAAACAGGCCAATCCCAATTTGCCACACAAAAGCCAAGTGCCAGAAGACAGGATAATTACCTAAGAACTAACTGAAAGCCTCCATTTCTTTGACATTTTTGGAATTGTGCATTTATAGCAACCTTCACTGGAACTGATTAAAAAGCTGCCTCAAATCAGTTACCACATACACTATACTTACAGAACAACATACCACACCACATGGTGTAACCTGCTGCATTTATGGTACCTCACACCACATTTTATGTCTTCAGAAAAGGAGAAAAATTAGGGGAAAAATTAGTTAGGTCTGTCCACATTCAAAACATTGCCTGCAATCTGATCAGAGCAATCCAAATGAATCTTGACATAATAAGGCAGGTAAAACCTCAGTGAGCAGTTAAGTAGCACCTATATACCATTTTAGCCACAATTTTTCTTTTATTTAAACTACTATTTAAAAAAACTAAAATCTTCCTTTTGGAATAATATTCTTTTTGGAAGGATACAATTAAATCATCCTAGTAGGAGAGGGCATTGAGCTCATGAGATCTGATACTGCTTTCTGTGACATAAGCTTAGTGTTGTTTACTAATGTTTTTCTGGTTTCCATCCATTCTTACTGCCTGTTTGAGTGAAGAATGGATGACAACACATATCCTGAGGCCATTTGATTGCTTGAGAGTAAAACTGAGGTTCACAGGATCAGAAAAGATTATTAATTGTGCCCTCATCCAGTGCTGATACAAGTTTATGATCCAAAGTCCCTTCACAAACCAATGGAATGAAGATTAAAAATGTCAGGATTTAATGGCAGACAAGACCAGTACTGAGATCCCCAGGTAAGTGATGCAGCATTGTAATTGTAATGAACAAGAAAACATTTGGTGAGGGTTGTGTTAGAGCATCTTCTTGAAAGACTGGGAGTAACAGATAACAACAGCACTATAGGAACTTTTTGGTCTCACCAGCTTTTTTACAAAGCTCCCTGGTGTTCTCTGGAGTTTGTACAGTATCCAAGGGGAGGGGAGCAGGGAATCTTTTTACAGGAATGTTTTAGTGATTGCATAGGGGCCACGCTCACTTCTGCCCCCAGTAACTTACAGATACTACATGGTGGGATTGGACTAGATGACCTTTAAAGGTTCCTTCCAACCCAAACAATTCCATGGTTCTCTGATCCTGGAGATAACTTACCACAGGCAGGCTGCACAAAAAGGTTCTCTGAATGTCTGATTAGGGGGTAAAAGCACAGTCAGTCATTCTTTCATTCAAAAGAAATTAATATTTACCATGCAGTTTTCTTGGCACATGATTAGAATTGAATTAGAACAGAAAAGACCTCATTTTATAATTTAGAAAAATAGGTTTTTTTTCAAAGCAGGACTAGACATACCCAGTTGCTGAAAGAGAAGAGCCACACTGGTGCCTGTAACAGGAAGGCTATCATGTAGAGGAGTCTGTATCAGCTGTCTGTCTCCAGCTCCTAAAGAAAACAATTTCTGTAGAAAGAATTTTTTAAAATTTAATTTATATAGATTGAACAAGCTGTCATCATACAGACAAGTGAGTCACACTGCAAAAATTATTTCTTTTGTATACAGAAATTTAAAGTCAAATAAAGATCTGAAATATAATTTGGGCACAGTGATATGTCCCCTTGAATGTCCAGCATGATAGAGTCTCCCTTGCACTTACACTGACTTAGTCAAATAGTTGAGGCTTTGAAGGCAGTTAACAGTACATTTCTATTAATACAATAAAACATTTCTAATAATACAATAAAAAAATCTCCCAGGGAATAAAAAGGTTTAAAATCCATTTAAATCAGAAAAAGGTACAGTACTACTAACTGAATTTCTTTGCTCTCTACCATCCTCAGGTGTGTAGTGAGTATGAACATCCTTGTGACATGTGGGTACTGAAGAGGGCACTTGTGCTATTCCTGTGCTCCTGCTCTGCACATTAAAGTACAATTACAGCTCAGTTACCTTTCCAGCACAAGAACACTCCCTGGAGGGAGGCAGGAAATGGGAGGGAAAGGAGTGCACTTGAGTATCACATCCCAAACAGCTCTGCAATTGCAAAACACCCTCGCTTTCCTGTGAGCAAATCCACATGGCACTCAGGCAGTGAGTGATGCCAAGCAGCTCCCTCTAACCAGACTCCCATGGGCTGGGGGGCATTTCTGTGTGTAAATCTTCACTCTGCATGGCAGCAAAGGTGGGGAATGCAGGAAGGCAGCAAGCTCTGCCTGCTGCACAGCAGGTATTTAAAAATATATTTAAAAATCTCCCCAGTAAACCCAAACAAGTCCCTGAGCTGTAGCAGAGATGCTCTGCCCCTGCACTGCAGCAGCAGGCCTGGATGCAGGTCAGTAACCCATTTCACAGATGATTGCTTCTGGAAATAAATGCTAAAAGAGTGTTCCCACCCTATAAGATATGATTCACTATAATTCACCTTCAGTCCTGCAAGCATAAAGCTTAAAAAAGGAGAAACACTTAATTTCTGATTTAAATGACAGTTTGACAGTAGCAAATTTAAGCTGGAAATGAGTGAGCATTTTATTTGAAGAGAGAAAGCAGAAGGAAGAACAACCACAGCAGCAAGACTTTTCCTTCCTCTTCTAACAGAGCAAAGCCACAGAGAAAAGCTGTATTCATGGACAGGGTGAAAAAAGAGAGGACAGATGCACAGCCAGAAGTTTAAGTGGATCACCAAAACCAAAAATAAGAGACTCAAATACCACTGGAAAAGAGGGTTTCTGATGAGGAGATAAAATCTGATTACTCCCCTTCAAAACCAAAAATAAGGATAGAAAAGCAGAGATGTGGAGAGCAGCAGGGCAGAGCCTGACCAAGCTGACAGGACACTCTGACGCTTTCTGCACTAAGAGAGTCCCACAGCAGCCAGGGCTAGGGCAAAACTAGAACAGAATTAGGAAGTTGTAGGATTTCAAGAGGGTTGAAAAACCCATAGGTTGAGTAGGAAGCTGTGTATGTAATTGACTTTAAAATGCTGCCATCTGCACAGGTAGTTTTCTGGTGGGTTTCATAGTAAGGACCATAATTTCCCATCAGGGTCACAGCATAAAGCAAAAACCAAACACAGAAAGACTCAACTGGCTTACCAAAGCCTCACAAATATATAGGAATATTTTATAAAAAGTAAATTGAGAAATAAACCTGGCTTTCTGCTCACAGAAAGCACAACTGAAAAGCAGAAAGAAGTCTGCTCGCTAGAAAACTTTAATTTTTGAAAGCATGGGCAATTTGCAATATTTAATTCCTCTGAGGAAACCCCATTTGAGTTACTTTTTACCATTTAAAAAACAAATAATGAAAATAGAAATTTAAATGAGTTATCAAAGAAATGACAGTGGAATCCTAAATTCCATCAAGGAACAAACATGCATAAATGAACAGATATGAAGCTTATGTTAGAAAATGGTAAAAAAAAAAAGCCTTTAAAAAAAATTTCTGTAGCAAGCAAAAGTATTCTTGAACACTTTATTATTTAAAAACTAAACTTATACAAACTGCTTAATTTGTTAATGTGCCCTGTAAAAGCCAACTCAGTGACAAAATTAACCCTTTGACCTTATCCTGGAATGGAATTTTTGCTGTCTTTAGAAGACAGGCCACAGGGAAAGCACTCACAGGCCACAGGGAAAGCACTCAGCTGAACTATGATCTTTTTTTCTTCAAAAATATCTCAAGAATTTATTTTTTGTTTTCTTCATAAATTAAATTAACTGGAAAAATACCCTTTCCTCCCCTAGCCCCCCTCCCCATTTACCTGAGACCCTCCAGAAGCAGGGACAAGGCATGAACAGAGATTTGCAATGAGAGTCTCCAGTGACACATTCAGGCTGTCCACATACACGGTGTAGATCAAACCAAGGCAAGCCTAGAAAGGTTGACAAAATACATCAGACTGCAATATAGGTCAAATTGTTCAAAGATCTATGTATATGATCTTGAAAAAAATAAGTTCTTAATAGTTACTAGTGCAGTGAAGTACCCTCCAACCAATGTAATTTGCCACAGAGGCAATAATTCATTAAAAAAAAAAATAGCTTGGCTACTTGCAAGGGATGCATGGTTTTTTAAAAGAAATTCTATTCTAAGTATAATGTTTTTGCTTTTTTTGTTATAAGTTTATTAGAAGTTACTGTTAAAAAGGATAAAAATCAACACAGCTTCATCTGTGCTTTGAACTCTAATGGACTAAAACCTGACTGATTTCCAGGGTAGAACACTGATTAATCAAAGAGCTTCTGAGGCTCATTTTAAGACCAGTATTAATCACTAATAATTCCATATGTTATCTAACTTTCATCCTTAATTTTGTTATATCAATGCAAATATATTTTATATTAATAGTATATTACTATTTCCACATATTTTATTAATGGATCAAATTTTGGTTGAGAAATCACAGATACAGCTTTAGCATTTTTACTAATAATTCAATCCAGATCAACGTGACATTCTAAGAAGCTTTTGGACAAAAGGAAATAACTCCTCCACAGCATCTTTTGCCTTTTAACTGTTTCAACTTTGATAAATCATCAAATATTTTAGTAGTTCTCTTCTCAGAAATAATTCCAACAGTAACTTTTCATATCACACATAGTTAAACAGTGAAATTCTGTGCCATGGGTTGTTGTAAAATATGAATGTTAAGAAAGTGAACTAATTACAGAAAAATCCACAGAAACAACACCTCTGGTTCAGGATGTCATTTAACTATTATTCACATTGAATGAGGTAAGCATTTTGCAGAATTATTTCTACAGCCTGCCCTATTCTTACCCACTTTGCTTTGCACTTGCCAAGGGCCACTATGAGAGACAAAATCCTGGGCTCCAAGGACATTTAATCTCACATGGTGCAGTCATCCTTTATGCCTACAGACAACTGCTGAATGATTTCCTCCCTTCATCTGTAAACTGAACTTTATTTGGTTCTGTTCATATGTATTAGCTTAGGAGAAATTTAAGCTTTTCATTTATCTCAGCTAAGTCATATTTCACCAGCTGAAAGTAATCCAAGGTCCTAAATCTTGGTCATGCATCTTAATTTGGTCTGGAAGAGGCTCAGACATTTTGCTTTGTATATGGAGGAGAACTAGATTTTCACTGGTAATTTACCACTATATAGTTAGTCAAATATTGTCTGCTTTTGTGCTAATAACTCCTTTCATTACAGAGTACACTGAGCCCAGAAAAATCTCTCCCACTCCTTCTGTATAGCTTTAAAACAGCTTGGAGGGTAAAGAGGCACTACTTGAACCTACAGGGACTGTTTACTGTTCCAGATGTTGAATTTGATCTAGTTCAATCTAAAGCTACTTTTGCTTTTAAATTCCCAAATCAATCCTGGGTGAGATATTTTATTTTAAATCAAAAGTACAATCATTGTTACTCATTTAAAACCGGATTTTTCTGCTGATATATTGTAAATAGCAATTGCAAGTTCTTTACCCTGAAAATTTCTGGATAATCTAATCTGGACACCAGCACCAGACTTTTAGGAGCAAATACTTCTGCAGGCTGAATTAAACCAGACTCCTCTTCACCTTCAATTTCTTTCGTTCCCTTGAAAACAGAAACACTTCAATTAATAAGGAGGAAGAAAACTCAAACCAAAATGTTAGCATTTTTACCAAAAGTTAACATTTCTCAGAGCTTCAGCAAAGTACTGCATTATTTGAAACTGGTAACAAAATCAGGTAACAGGAGCACACTCCAATGGTTGCCTCAACTCCCTAAAGGTTCTAGATGTAATTCAGTTTATTAAAACTCACCCTGGGAAGTCAAGCACCAATGGACCTAAAATAAAGTTCTCTTAAGACAACAGTTTAACAGGACACAGTTCCACATTAAATACTCCCTGTGGCACATTTTAGATAGTAAAGTGGATGAAAGAACAAGATCCTTCCACATCAAACTGTGGCTGATCTACAATCTCTCCAAATACAGAGATCATGGATTTCACAAAAGAATGGCTGTCCTCCTCATATTAATATAATTCAATTTCTTACAGAATTCCCGCTAACATTACAGCTGAAATTATCTGTAATGTCATCTCCAGCCTGACCTAGTGAATTTGGAATTTAAAGATATTTCTTCACCAGAAAACTGGCTCAGATTTCTCAAAAAAAATCGCTCACACTTAGGAACCACTAAGGTTACAAAAAAAAAAAAAAAAGAGAGAACAGCGCAGTGCAGATAAACTTGGAGTTGCTCATGATATTTTGCAAGTGGCTATAATCTTCTTGCCAGAACTTATTCAATCACAAACAGTTTATTATTATTCATAGCCAAAACTGAAGATGTCACTAAATATTTTCATTTCTAAAATTCCATACATTCTTTGACAATTTAAGTTTTCAGATGACAGAATGTCCTTGCTTTCCAATTTCTGGATGTAATTCTCTCCAACCCCGCACCACCCACCAAATTTCTTTTATTTGTTCCTCTGACCAAGCATTCTTCCAAGCAAAAATCACTCCATTATCTTAATTAGGAACACGAGAAAAATTTTGTCCATTTTCATATGACAACATGAAATATTTGCCTTCTATTTCTGTCACATTACTACTCATCATTTCAGTTCCTTAAAAAAAAATCCAACATTTCTCCTAAATGGACGAAATCTGATAAAAATGCTCTTAAATGCCAGGAATGCTACAAGCTCATGAGCTTTATTTCACAACCTCAATTCAGAATGTACAGTTTCTTTAGGCAAATGCTAACCCACAATTCAGAATTCACGTTAAAATGATATAAAAAGAGAGTACTTGGGTTTTAATCACAATACCTTGGTTAATACAGTATAACACTTCCACACCAAAATAAAACCAGTTGGTTCAACAAGACATATACACATATGGGAAAACACTTGGCTTTGTACATTAAATTTTACCTAAATATCAAGCAATGCATTTGCATTGTATGTGCTCGGTTGAGTCTGCACCTCATTTCTAAGATAAAATTGTGATTCACAAATTTCACAAATAGAGAAACACAATAACTCAACAATCACACATCCCACTCAGGTTCATTCATTTTCATCCATTCTAATGCTGACAGGGAGAGCTTTTACAGGAATTACAGTTGCCTCCCTCTGCCCCCCAAAATCCCCAGATTTTTTAATTATCAGCAGAAGTTTGCTGTATCAACCATTCTAAAGAGCAAGTATGAGTTCTAGGCATAAAGACAACAGCTCCTGGATATCTGACAAATTGTGGGCTCTTACATTAGGAAAAATGAAATTAAAACACATTCCACATTCCTCAAGGCCAGGGAACATGGAAGCTCCTCCATATTCCATGGTACTGAGATAATGAAACCTCAGAGTGCTCAGGCAGGGAGGAGCTTTCCCTATGCAAGACCTTTCTAATAAAATCCACACAACTTCAGACCAAGTCTTGAATTAAATCAAAATTAAGATTTAGAGCTTTTGGGGCAGAAAGCAGCGCAATATTGATTGATAAAGCATTTATACTCTTCAACCACTCTCCTACTTCACAAAAGATTTACAGCAAAATGCAATGTGACTGCTGTGTTTCTTCCCCAGCTCAACATTCTGACAGGCACACAGGCACATTATTAGGAGTCACTAGACTAAGTAGATAATCATTTCAAACACATGACTTTTAACCTACTTTTCAAGCAAAGTATTAACAGCATAAGCATTCTGTACCAAAAGTAATTACAGAGCACTAAAGCCACAAATGTGATTGTATTTACACTTCTGGTCAGACAAACACACACATTTCATGTTTCTTTATCCCTTTTTCCCTCTAAGGAAAAAATGTTGTCTAATAAAAAATAACAAAATGAAAGAGTTTGCTGTGTTGGGGGCTTTTTACAATAACTTTTTATTTTATATGTGCAGCATGCAGTTCACAACTTACCTAAGAATAAATGGATGGTATGGTAAGCTTGCTAAGGATACATAGATTGAAAGATGAATTTAAATTACAGAATCACAGGGTTGGAAAAGATCTCTGAGATCACTGAGTTCAGCCTCTGAGTGAACAGCACCCTGCCAATTGCACAGCACTGAGTGCCACGTCCAGCTCCTTCTGGAGCATCTCTAGGGATGGCGACAGCAGCACCTCCCTGGGCAGCCCATTCCAGAGTCTCATCACCCTTCCTGTGAAGAAATTCCTCCTGATGTCCCAGCTGCACCTCCCCTTGAGGCTGTGTCCCCTCATCCTGCCACTCATTGCCTGAGAGAAGAGACTGATCCCCACCTGGCTGCAACCACCTTCCATGGAGTGGTAGAGTCCCCTCTGAGCCTCCTTTTCCCCAGGCTGAGCACCCCCATTTCCCCCTGCAGCTCCTCATCAGACCTGTGCTCCAGACCCTTCCCCAGCTCTGTTGCCCTTCCCTGAATTTGCCTTGGTTAATTAATGCTGAAAAAGATTCCCTTTTTTTTTGTCCTTCCATTTTTCTCTTTATATTTATTTGAAATAAGCAAACTTTGAGAACAGCTGAATTTAGAAAAATGTACCACTAGAGAGCAAACCAATGTTCCAGATCCTTAACAATCCATTTAATTTAACAGGTGATAAACATCTGAAATCTAATCCAGAAATACCTGTGCTTTGAGAAGGCAAATGAATAATTTTTCTTTTTAAACACCCAATTAATAAAGTCCTGAAAAAGACTTTTCCATAGGCTACAGAATAGATAACTAAGACAGATCTAACTGAATCAAAGAACTGCACAAGCTGTGGTTATACACAATTTCACCATGCTTAAAATATTCAGTCCTTTGTACTTAGACATGACCAAAGCCCATCAGGGTCCTGTTCCCTGCCTGTCACACCCAGAATCCTCTTTTCTTCTGCACCCTGACTTGGTTTCTAAAGTTAGAAGAAGAATATAATGCAGAGATCTGTAAACTATGGCTGACTTATGTCCTTAGAGAAGTTTTCCCAAAAAATTTCCTGGATGTTACAAACTATCACAAAAACTTACAGGCAACATGACAGTACTGAATGTTAACATTTATGTCACATGAGATCAAAAAAATGTATAGGAAAAATTAAGATAGCCAATTTTAAAACTAAAACCAATATTAAATCCCTGAAAAAAATAAAATACAATTAAACAAGCAATTATTTCTTATAGGGTAGAATATGGTTGAAGATGTACCATAAGTTTGAACAGAAAAATCTTACCTAGTTTAACAGCAAAATGTTTGATTTATTTACTTGCTGGGTTTTTTCTTCCCATCTCTTTTTCTGCATTAATAATATTTGATAAACAAACTCAGAAAATGGTGAAACCTCTTTTAAAGGTCACAGGATGCAATTTCATTTTGCTTACCTTGGCTGCTATAGCCATAAAGTGGTCTCTTAAAAGACTGGCCATAATATGTGTGTGTGCGTGTGTTCAGTACACTTAAAGCACACCATCAATTCACATATTTAAACTCCAATGTTTTCATCTGTTTTAACAGATGTTCACACCCATATCTACACTAAAATATATGCATGTATATAAATATATATATATAAAAATATAAATATATATATACATATATATACAACTCCCAGAATGACAAATAATCAGTTTTACAGGTTCTTACAAAAATGAGATTACAGAACTAGAGAGTGTATGTATTGCAACTGTTGGCCTTTCCTCTTTTAGAGGAGAAGCAGCCACTGAACATATCTGTGACCTCAAGTGAAGGGGTAAATTAAAATATGCAATAACCAACCAGTTGAACTAACAGCATCACTCCATGGTTCATGAACTTGTTCAATAAAAGCAGCTGAATTAATAAATGCATTAAAGCAGCTTTGATCCCTGACTGATAACCAACAGTTTAGAAAAATTAACTGTGATAACCACTGTTCATCATCACTCTGCTATTTGTTTGTTTCCTTGTTTTCTGAAAACAATTTGTTCCTCAGGTTAGCCAAGGGATGTACATGGCATCAAGCCCAAACTAGATAAATTCAGTCTTATTATTCAAACATTTTTTAAATGAGGAAGTAAACTGACAAGTGCAGTCACCAGCAGATCAGGCATGATGTCCCAGATCCCAGAAAAAGGTTTAATACCTTCTCAATCATTGTAGTTAAAATTGAATACTTGTGGGGTTTATACACCTTATATTAAGTAAGGTATTGCTTTGTTTAATCAGTGTCCTATTGCCCTAAAAATCCCTCTACATCTATAAAAATTGTAAAGCTGAGCAGTGTAACGTGTAAAGTGAAAAATTGTAAAGTTTGCAGCATTTTATCAAGTAATGAGAGAAGAGTTTGAAAGCTTGGTATTAGAAAAAAAAGTATTAAACAGAAGTTAATTATTATAATAAAATATTGCATATTTCCCTCAAATAAATGGGAGTCAATCAAGAGCAAAATACTTGCTTAACAGTGAAATGTATATGAAATAAATTAAATATAATAAATATTAATAAATAACTGCATCCTGTATTATAATAAGAAAATAGGTACTCACAGCCATGAATTATTTTTATTTCAGGTACATTTATGTGTAAGTTAAAACATTTGTGGGTTACCTGATCAAGGCTGACCTTAAAATCCAAGTTTTCCATCCAGTGGCAATGG